TTAGATTTTTTATATTTAAAATGAGATGTTTATCATGTATTTGATTGTGTTTATCTGCAGTTAGTTACACGAATTCAGATATGGGATGAAATCGGATATGGATGAAATCGTTTAGGGATGAACGGGTTTAAAAGTTTTTAAGAGTTTTAGCCAAATGCTTTATAAGATAGTATAGATTAAGGTTTATAAGTTTGTTCATATTTTGATTGTATGATTCATGAGCATATAAATATGTTTAGATCAAAAAAGAGTATGCTCCTTGACTCAAATAACATATAAAATCAAACAAGTCGAGCCAAACATTGGTGTTACAGAGCTCGATTCATCAAATTAAACAAGTTTTATTTTGTGTTCAATATTGATCACTCGAACCCGAGAATCACTAAGCTCGATCGAACTTGAAATAAATGAGCTAGACACCAAATTTTAAATCATTAAATGCTTGGATCGTTAATACTCCCCCGTTACGTTTCACGTACAGGAGAATAAAGTAATGTCTTGTGAGTAGTATTTTAGTTTTTGTCTTACTTTCCGTGCTTTGAATAATGTTTGTGGTTTAGGGCTACTTTTGGTATTTCCCTTAATTAGAATAACAGGTGCGAGTTTATTATATAGGGACGGAGTTCTTTTTGCGATTCATAGAGTTTTCTTGAACTTTATAACTTGAGCGAATGCTTTAGGAGAAATCATGACCTCTCGAATGCCATTGGGATTCCATTTTTTTTAATACAATCCACAGTCGACACGTTAGAATCAGTTCATACCAGACTCCTAAACCGCACGAAAAAGAAGTTGTATATCATGAAATACTTGATTATATAATCAAACAAGTTAAATACCCGACATACCTTGAATATCCCCTTTTAGATTTGCAATTACACCAATTTTAATGTGCATTTAATTTAATTTAGTAACTATTTGCTCAATAATTATATGAAATCTAATCAATAAAGTGTTGGTATCTGTACTATCAACGATCTAAGTTTGAAATGATAGAAATACAGTAGAGTTTAGACTTTCTATTATAGGAATTTCAACTGTATATTAAATAAAACGTGTTTTCACAAAAGTAGTTGAATAGATAAATATTCCATATCCTCTCATATTTGTTTGACTGTTTTGGCTTGTAAACTGATCTGAAAGATTGATGCATTTGCATCTAATCGTAACTACTTTATTTATCTAAAATATGACTTCGATAGTTGAGTTACTTTGATATAAAAAAATCATCGATAAATTCAATCTATGTTAATAATCAGATAAAATCAGATATTTTAGTTTATCTTCTATTTTTCTATATCAATTTTTGGATATTGATAATCATCGATTTTTTTCATCTGATTTTCCATCTTGAAGTCGTTAGCAATTTCAAAATTTACAAATTGAATTAAATTTCATATGTGAATACAAACATCGATATGCTTCAAAATTTACAAATTGAATTAAATTATTGTCCTAAAAATGAACTAAACCATGTTTTAGAATTTGCGATTATATAAGGAAAAAAAGTCGTATTAAAAAAAAATAATACACGAAAGATTATTGAAGATTGCAAAATACGTAATTATTTTACATAATTACGATAAAAACGTAAATGATGTTGTCACCTACTTTTGATTTGATATCATCATACATACCGAATCTCAAGTAAAACTCTTTTTTTTGGTCTCGGATATAAAGTGTTTCGTTTGTTTTAAGAAATAGGAATAAAAATGGGAATCAATATATTCATTACATTATTTTACATTTTGTATCGTTGATGTTTGATGATAAAATGTTATCAAACAACGCCATCATCTCCATAAGAACATCTTCATCACCAAGACACCAAGAGTACCCGACATCTCCATTGCCACGACATGATCTCCATTCTTTTATATCTAAGATGCATCCTCGATCACCAAGATTCCAACAATACCTAGCATCCCCGATTGCTTTCTCCCTCAGAAAACCCTAACTGGTTAGAAGAAAAACCATATCTGATTTCTTTTTTCCTCAGAAAATGCTAACCGAGTAGAAGAGAAATCAGAACAAAGATGTTATATATATATATATATATATATATATATATAAGTCAAAATCGGAGCAAAGAAACAAACTGATGTGATAAATCGAAGAGAAAGCTTCAATCTGAAATGGAGATAAATCTTGGATCTGATAGATCGAGAAACCCTAAACTGAATTCGTCATTTTTTGACCAAGATGGAAAAACATAATTGAAATGGAGGTAAATCTTCAATATGGTGAATCACAATGTTGATAGGAAAACTTGAGGCGTAGAAAGATAGATGGACAGACAGTAAGGGAGAAGGAGATAAAGAGACGATAAGGGGGATAAGAAAGACGATCTGTTGGTTATTTTCTATTTCACCTGATTTAGGAAGAAATAATTTTTACGTAAATCAGTTATAATGATTAATTATTTATCTGAAACCAAACACCATTTTTTATTGCACTTCTATTTCTTGTTTGAACCAAATATGATAATTTAACATTTTTATTCAATTATCTTTTAATATCCCCAACAAACATCCCTTTAGAAATTATTTAACGAAAAGTCATATAAAATTCAAGTGTCATATTTCTGTAAATTAAAATTTTTAATCACTATAATAAAATCGGGTTTATATGACGTTCTCAATTTCTAAGCGTCCTAATAGACCTTTTTATAGGTCTTAGTTTATAGGACCAAAAAATAATGTGTCATATCTAAAGGCGTTGTAATAAGTTTATATGACATTTTTTGACGTCGTAATATGTTTTTAGGACGCTTTTAATATAAAACGTCCCCAATTAGCAATTTTATAGGACGTTATTTGAAAAACTGTCCTATAAAACAAGTGTCATAAAAAATTGAGTTTATTGGACACTTTCTCAAAAGTGTCATATAAAGTTGTTAATGTGATGTTTTATATTAAAAATGTTCTAAAAGACTTGTTAAAACGTCCAAAAGTGTCATATAAACTTATTATGACGTTTTTAAATAGACGTTTTATATTTGTGGTCATATAAATTAAGCCTTATAAAGCGGTCTATTGAGACGCTTAGAGATTGTGAGCGTTCTATAAACTCAATTTTGTTCTAGTGCATAGAAGTTGATTTGAAATTTATATTTATGTAATAGAAACTGTTTTCATACAATTTATAGCACACAAATTATATATATATATATATATACACACACATACACACACATACATATATATATATATATATGATTGAGTTCACGTGAGACCAACATGTTTTTGTGAGACCGATAAGACCTCTTCTTTTATATTTGAAACTTCATAGCAAAACGTTGTGAAGATAAAAAAAAGTAGAACCTTCACAACAAAAACATTTCGAAGGTTACCTTCACAGTATTTTGCTGTGAAATTTCAAGTATAAAAAAGTGGTCTCATGAGTCTCATAAAAATAGGTTCGTCTCACGTGATCCCAAGTCTCTTTCTCTCTCTCTCTCTCTATGTATATACGTGTATAAATATATATATATATATATATATATAATATTCTAATTCTACCTCCCTTCCCCTCAATTCCACTCAAGGTCGGACCTACTTTGGTGGTTACGGTGGCATTATTACTCCGTCGAAGGGTAAAAAAATTTAGGTTCGTGAAATGTGCAGCCGTATTAATCTATTGTGTGTCATCGTGCATTTTGAAACTACAATGAGAAAAAAATTTATTTGGTAGAGTTGGTTTGGAAGGCTTTTATTCCACCCCAAACTCAAGCTCGAATCGTGTTACTGACATTTTCTTAGTCAAATGGTGCTACCGATTGATTTTTTTTTGTATATTTGTTTCTTATAATTAAAAGATGTCACTGTTTGAAATTTTTTTCCTATAGTTTTTCTTATAGCCAAATGGTACCATCGTTTGAAAAAATCTCTAGATCCATCCCTGATTCCACTAGGGTTTTTTTTTCTTCCAAGTCTCCTTTTAAAATATTAGGTCATAGAAGCATAATCACATTCCAATTTTATTTTCTTGTTGTCTACGTTTTATTTTCTAATAAATCCAATTACATAAACATGAATTATTCTTAAAAATAAAATAACAACGATTTATAAAAAGGAGGGAAAAAAAAGTCAAGCAATTAAGCAAAAATCATGCAGACTTATGTTGTCTGATTAATATATAGATACAAACTATTTGTTCTTCATAAACAATGATTTCATTAAGCCTTTTAACGATCATTCACATATGAATATTCATATCTTAACTATTTTTATTTTCTTTAATGATTTTATTCATATAAAAAAAAGTATCAAATGGGGGTTTGCTAATATGAGAGGAGGGGATGGAGGTAGCAAAAGTGAATCGTTTGGAAGCCAAAAATGGAATGTACTGTTGACATTAGTTGTAGAAGCCCTAAATTTATCTACTTTCATGTACCAAACTAGCTTCCCTAACCCTAAATTTTACTCCTATATATCTTCTTCCCCATCAAAACCCTAATAAACTTTTTTCATATCTCTTCATATTCATAATCATCGATTCATCCAAACCTGTATTGCTGCAATCACTCATCATTCGTTAATTCATCCATCTTTGTTTCCATATTTGTATGATCATGAACTTTGAAGTGCAAGCCGAGAGGGTGCAGGCCACCAACATGGATACTGCTGTTCAAACTCCTTCAGATCAGCATCTTTGCTACGTTCGTTGCAACTTCTGCAATACCCTTCTTGCGGTATTCATTTTTTCCCCCACAAAGTTCATAGTTTTCATTGCATAATAACATGAAGAACTAATATACATAAATTGATACAAAGAAAAGTACTACAGCTAGCTATATATAATTACTCAACATAGAGGGTTATATATATATATATATATATGTGTGTGTGTGTGTGTGTGTGTGTGTGTGTATAGTGTCAAGGATGTGTTTTTGTGTGTTTATGGTGAATAAATGGGGTTTTTGCAGGTGGGGATACCATGCAAGAGGCTGTTGGATACAGTGACAGTGAAATGTGGGCATTGTAGTAATTTATCATTTCTCACCATTAGGCCTTCTCCTCTTGATCATCCTCTTCAACCTCCCCCTCTTCCTCCTTTTCAGGTTTTTTTCCCTTTTCCTTTTTCATCTGTTATTTTTTTAATAACCTGGATATCCAACTCGCTATGGGAGCCGACTAATTCCAGGACAACCACCTGCTTTGCAGATAGCCCGGAGTTACCGCAATTGAACCTCCGTGGCCACAATCTGTTCTTATGAACTATAGTGTTTCTAAATGTATTGTTATAGAAATGATGATTTTTTACAACTCAAAGTTGAATACAATTAGTTAAAAGGGTGATTAATTACTTTTTTTTTTTTTTTTTACCTCCAGACACTTTTGATTTTTGGAATCCAAACTTAAAACCAACCAGACATTACACTTGTGGTTGGGTATAACTTGTTTTCGTGTCGATAGGTTTGAAAACAAAAGAAACTGTTTGGTTTCCTATAATATAATGGGTTCATTCCGTTAAAAGTCCAAAATTTCATTTCTGGTTAAACGTGAAGGAATGAAAATTCATTCTCAGTCGTTTTCATTCCTCAGCCTGAACCAAAAAAACCCTTATTTTATCCGTAGCATATCAAATGGATCATGGTGTTTGACCATACTTATAAGATATTGACATTTTTGCCCATATTTTTACAAATTCCAATGATTTTTTAAAACTAAAATTAAGAACAATCGTTCCAAATCTTTGTATATATTCTATAAGTACTATATTTTTTTGGAATATTGCTCAAAAATGATGAACATCTTGATAATAAGAATCAAGTACAATGATTTCATAAGTAATATAATTCACTGTATACGTTCGTTATTTTTCGTACCAACAAAATAGAAACAAGAAACGACCATATTTTTTGCATTGTTGCTCTCATTTATCGTTACATAATGGAAATAAAAACCGTTGTATTCCCATAAACCCTAAAACAAGTAGAATCTAATAAATTTTCCCGTGTTATAAATATGCAAGCAGACTACTTTCTCCGGTGATTTCAAAAGGGGTCAATCTTCATCTTCTTCATCATCAACATCGAACGAGCCCACGTCCCCGAAAGCTCCCTTCGTCGTCAAACGTACTCACCGTTTCTTCTTCCTTATTCATTTAATTTCTCTAATTAATTATTCATAATGCATTTTAAAACAAAAATTAATGGGTTCTTGTTTGTAATCTGGCATGCAGCACCTGAGAAGAAACACAGGCTACCATCTGCTTACAATCGATTCATGAAGTGAGTTCTTAGTTAACCAATCATTTTTTTTTCTTTATTTTTAATTCATTTATTATATAAAATTTAAATAATTAGGGAGGAAATCCAACGCATAAAGGCTTCAAATCCTCAAATACCTCATCGAGAAGCTTTCAGCACCGCAGCAAAAAATGTAATTATCTCTTCTTAATTAATATTTTATTTTCATTGATTTTTTTACATTAATTTCAAATAAATAAATAAAACATGAAATTAATCTGTATAATTTAAGTATTATATATATATATATATATATATATATATCACATTGATGTTTCAATGTTTGCAACAGTGGGCAGGGCACATACCGAATGGATCCATCTCTGGGAGCATCAACACTGTAAGAAATCTTCTATATTTCTTATACAATCATTTACATTTGTACAACCAATATAAAAAGAGAAAGATGACTTATTATGCAACCATTTACATTTATACAACCAATACAACTCAATCTCAACCGTCCATTTAATTTGATGAACATGTGATTTCATAAATGTTTTGATTGTTTTCTAATATAAAGTATTGATCATAAGTAATGAACTCTAGTCATCTTCCATAAACATTTAAATCATAATAAATAAACTCTCATCATTTCCATAAATATCTCAATTGATTAGGTTACATTGGTTGTACAAATAAACATGATTGCATTTGACATATTTTGTATTTCAGGGTCTTGATCTTTCAGGATTGAAGTAACAAAATATGCACCTTTTTTCCGAGCTATTTACCTTGATCGAAGAAGTTGAGGGACTAATTATGCCACATTGTGTAAACTTTGAATCTGGAAACTAATTGCAGAAGTTGGATTTATGTAATTTAATGTTTGTATCAATCTAAAGACATGCATGTTTATGTAATATTTCTAATTTTTTTTTATTAATTTGGATATCCAACCCGTTATGCGAGTCGATTAATCCCAGGACGACCACCTGCTTTGCAGATAGCCCGGAGTCACCGCATTTGAACCTCCGTGACCTTTATTCCTCCTTGGATTTAAACCTGGGACCTCCTGGTACTTTTGACATTTGAAGCAAAGCTCAAACTAATCAGGCACCACCCTTGTGGTTAATATTTCTAATCTTAGAATGAGTGTTTTAATGATCCCATTTTTTGTGTTGAATTATGAGTTTTTTGAATCAATTGATGTTTTTGTGCTACAAATGCAATGGCATTATTTTGATGGCAACACTTGCACTGAATTTAGAATGACCAAAGTTCGTACCCTTTTGTGTTTCTTCTTTTGATTAACAATTTGAATGGCGTAAACAGGTGATTTCTGAAAAGATAAGAGTTAAATAAACAGTTTGAATGTTGATCCGAGTAAAAAAAAATCAACAACTTAAAAAGTTTTGTATGTCTTTCGAGCGTCTTAATAGAATATTTTAAATGATATTTTTGAGAAGTTTTCTATAAATCATCTTTTTATAGAACATTTTTTGAAATAATGTTCTATAAAATAGCTAATATGACGTTTTATTTTAATAAATTTTCTAATAAACTTGTTAGAACATCTGAAAACGTCATATAAACATATTGTAATACTTTTAGATATGACGTTTTTATTGTGTGATACTATAAACTTGAGTATTTTATATTATTTTATTAAGGTTGTTGGTCTCAACCATTTCGTTAGATGATTACACATATACGTCTGATATAACACTTAGAAATGTTTTTATGGTTGTGTATAAAATCTTATTGACAAATTAACTTTAGAAGTATCATGTTTGTAATCAGGTGGGATCCGAAATGTATTAGGATATGAGAAGCTTTGGGATCTGAAATATATAAAAGAATCCAATATATATCAGATCCAAATCGTGGGATCCGAGAAAATCTAGGATGCGATATGTTTGTGGATCTGGTTCATTATTAGAATCCGAACTCTATTTTCAATCCTAAAGTCCTTTTAGAATTTGAAATAGTGAAATCTTGTTGGATCTGAAATATAGCTTATGTTAAGGAGAAAAAGATAAGAGTAAGATTGTTATTATGTAAGTCTAATTATTGTATTTAATATTGATCCAAAATAAAATGTCTTCAGCAAATTCGAAGACTAGTTAAACTGGAACCAAGATTAACACTGGATAAAGTTAAAAATAGTTGGACAAATATTGTTTTTGGCAAGCCATTTTTGGCATGCAAACTTAACCAACAAGTTCAGCTCGCCAACTCCTACCAACTCATGTCGTAGTATGGGAGCATGCTCAACATGTCAACCAAAGTCAGTTCTAAAGTACTATTTTGATAGCATTAAGTAGATTAGTTGTAACATGTTGGTCAAAATTAGACGCTTGCTCATCTCTTGAACGAGCTTAGACATTGTGAGATTTTGAGCATACAACACTTGATATTAGTCTCAAATTCATTTCTTATGTGATTATGTCCGCCTGGATATGTACCTCTAGAACTTGACTTGTCTCACCTTAAGACTACATGATATTACAAGCTAATAAATATGATAAAGGTTATCATTTGCTCATTTTTATGTTAGCTCATTAGCCTTAAGCCTATCTTTTATGTTATGATTACCTTTCTGCACATCATTTTGAGCATTAGCCTATTTCTTTTGTCGCCGACATAGTGAACAATCCAAACACGACTCACCCGATCAATCACCAATGAAGTGGTACTGATATCCACTTATGCTTAAAATTAGAACTATTGTGTTGGATGAAAGAAAGAAAAAGGAGAAAAGGAAAGAAAAAAGTGAAAGAAAAAAATCAAGAAAACATTCTAAGTAAAAAATATATCATAAAGTAAGGTGGTGGAAATGAGGATAAGGTAATCTATGTTTCATCTCTATTCCTTATCATCCAAAGGGAATTATGCTTCAATATATATATATATATATATATATATATATGTGTGTGTGTGTGTGTGCGTGTGTGTGTGTGTGTGAAAATCCCTTCGTGGAAAGAGAGTTTCATGATTGAATAATCGGGTTCTCCATTGGTGTAAGATTACATACTAATGTGTGACGGTTTGAGCAATATGCATTAACCCGAAAGTGACTTGAGAGTGCTATTTCAATTTTTCTATCTATGAGAGTCCTTGTGCCTACTTGATTGTGTGTGTGTGCCCACTTTTCAATGCTTAGTTGCAAAGCTCGAGCTCATGATATGTTATATGTGTTGAAACTCTTGTTTGATTTATTTTCACCGCTACGTGCTAACATATTCATTGTCGAGGACATACAATGCTCTGAGTGTGGGGGTATTAAAAGGATGGATTTAGATACAAATAGAGCATATACTTCACAGATTTACAAAGATGGGCATATTTCTCAAATGTCTATTAAATTAGTGCATTTTTGTTAAAGTGTGATGTGGGCATACTTATCAAAATGGGCTTGGATAGGCATACATAGTCAAATGGTGATTACAAGAAGAAAAAGTCGCGACTTCGTTTTCAAATTTAGGGCTCTCTGTTTCTTTTCTTATTCGGCAGCCGCTGGACAAGAAGAAGAAAAGGATGGATCAATTGCAGCTTAGTCCAAATCCAAAAATCCACTATAGCCCAGAGCCCCATTTGATTTCCATGTTTGGGCGACTTCTTCAGTGAGTTAAGCCACACCCCTTCGGGCATCAAACACTTCTTGATTGCCATTTTATAACCAGGTTACTTCTACAACAAGTTTAGTCTCCCAAAACCTGCCTTAGACATTGTCTCGCTGCTTTAAATGTATCTGAGTGATTTTCCCGGTAGGCTTAGTCACGTCCCAAGTCGTCGACGACCCCTAAATCGTGAATTTGTTCTTTTTTGAAGGTGTCTTCTAGGAATAGATAGAAATATCAGTCACTAAAGTCATGATTTACTGGTCAAATGTCCACCTTTTAATCATAAAAACTTTAATATGAAATAACATGCTAGAGTTATTCGAAAACTGATTAAACACATAGCATGCAACTGTTCACAAAATAACATACATGTAAAATATATCGTAACATGTATATAACTGAAATATCATGCATATGTACACATTATCAACGATTCATATCATGCTAAAATAAAATTTAACTTACGTATGCATCCCAGTGAAATCTTATGAAGACTCATCTGATTGCGAGTAGATTGACTATTGATAGCTCTTGACCAAAAACCTAACACTTATGTTTTATTTGGGTGTTTCTTCAGTTAGTTTGTTGGGGCCCTGTGCCCCCTACCCCTTTAGCGTGCATCCGCCAGAGTTGTAGTCGTAGTTGTAGGGGAAGGTAAATAAGATGTTATAGGGGAAGTAAGAATGATAGTCGTTATTGTTAATGGAGATTGGAGATGCCGTCAAAGTTGTCACCAAGAAGATTGATGGTGGTCACTGTTCGGAGGAAAACAAAGACGTTAGTAGGGGATGATAACAGAGAAAATCCTCTATTTTTGTGATTTTTGTTTCAAATCTTCATTGATCGATCTCTTATCCTCTTTTGTCAACTGGTAAAAATTACTCAGTAATCAAGGAAGATGAAGGAGAGGTCGAGGGAGAAGAGAAAGCGAGAGAAAGACGGTTCAAGGAGAGGGCTGGCGATGGGAAGGGGAAGGTATTGGCGATGGGGTTCCCCACGATGATCGGAGCAAGCGACAGGGAGAGGAGTTTGATCAGATATTTAGGCGGTAAACGGTGAGTCTCTGGTTTGGTTTGCATGTGTATATATATTTTAGAGAATTAAAATTTTGGTCCATGTAGTTTATTGTTTCTAATGAAAAGTGGGAAAAAAAAATGACTGGTTTAACAGGAGAGAATTTGACGGAGTTAGTCTATGAACCCAAACCAAACACTTTTGCACATTATTAGGGTTTTCTTGCAATAAAAATTTTATAAAGACCTAAACCAAGAAAAAAACACAAACCACAGGGGCCAAAATTGCAATTTACTCTTTAAATAATGAAAGCATGAGATTTTAATTAAATCACGGAGAATATAAAACTATTACACGAATTAGAGGTGTTTGAAATTGTTTATTTGAAATAACTCATATTTTTCTATAAAAGTTTTTATCCAACTTATTATAAACTATAATAGTTTAACTTCTTCAAAAATTATTTATTACTGATTTGACACTGATATAAACTGTTTATTCAAACACTTAAAATGCTTATTATAAATGCCACTCTGTAACTCGTTTTTGGGGATGTTTGGGATTGCTTATAAAAGCTGTTTTTAACTTATTTCAGTCTAATACCGGTGATAAGCTGTTTTCTAGTGTTTGGATAAGAAAAAAAACTGCTTATATCGGTGCCAAACCGGTAATATGATGTTTTTGATAAGTTAATCTTTCCTTACTTATGAAAAACTACTTATTATCAGTTTACAATTTTAACCATATTTTATTTAAACTAATTTAATACCATGTAAGGGGCTGTTTACCAAATTTTCTATTAAGTCCTGTATAGATAAATTTGTCTGTCTGGATAAATTTGGCTGTCTGGATAAATTTGGGTTGTTGTTTACTTTTCTATCTGAATCAACAGTCTGAATAACAGAAATGACCAATTTACCCCTGAGTATAACAAACCCAAATCAGCAGTGGAAGGATATTAACAAGCTGCTGTTATACAACCCCATGTTAAACAAACCCAAAATAAAAAAAGGAAACTGTACTAAAGGAAACAAATAATATACTGGTTTAAGCAAATAATGAACACAAACCGAGCAGGACACAGAAAAGGAAATCAAGCAGCAAACAATATACTGGTTTAAGCACCTCTGGTTTAAGCAGCAAACAATATACCGAGCAGGACACAGAGCAGCAAACAGAGCATACAAAATAAATCGAGCAGCAAGACCGAATCGAGCAGCAAAATCGAACAGAGCATACAAAATCGAACAGAGCATACAAAGAAAAGGAAAATAGGAAACTGTACTAAAGCAAACAGAGCATACAAAATCGAACCTAAGACCGAATCGAGCAGCAAAATCGGAAGCATCAAAATCGAGCGAATCGAACATAAGAGCATCAAAATCGAGCAATATCAGCAGATTGGATAACGAGCAGCAAAATCAGAAGCAATATCAGCAGCAAATCGCCGATTAGGGTTTTGGAGGAAAAGAGCAAACCTGTCGAGAAAATAGAGCGTGGGTTTTACAAGGGTAGGCGGGTCTTTTTTGTTGGCTTAATGTGGACAAGTGATGATTTTGGTCTGTGCGAATAAGCCCCTGTCTATCCGAATAAGCTCGAAGTAAACAGCCTAAAATGGCTGTACGAATAAACCCGTTTATCGGATAAGCTTATTAAACCACAAGTAAACAGGCCCTGAGTTAATAAACACTTAAAAAAAAATAGATTGTTTTAAATAAGCAATCCCAAAATAAGCAAATCCCAAAAGCCCCTTTGTAAGCAATCCAAACACCCCCATCATTTCAAAAAGAAAGAAACAAAAACACATAAAAGAAACGGTGGTTTATTGCCGGTGTGAGGCGGAGAAGGGAAACTTTGTGCCGCCGGAGAAGCCCAGGGTTTGACTGGCTACTGTTCGTTCTTAGAGCTCAGATAAGAGCAAACAAAACCACCCAAGTATTACGGGTTTCCACCTTCTTGTTCAAACTAAAAAAGGGCGCCAACTATAGTTCTACAAAACTCTCCCCATCATAGGGATTTTCTTTGAAGTCAATACAGAAGAAAATCGATGGCGATTGAGTGTCTTGTTCTAGGTATTGCTCTCTCTCTCTCTCTTGTGCCTTAATTACTTGTGTTTCATTACAACTGTTTCTTAGATTCGGTGAGAAAGGTATCTGATTTGAATGTAAAACAATTAGGCGCAGGACAAGAGGTAGGTAAGAGCTGTGTGGTAGTATCTATCAATGGGAAAAGGATTATGTTCGATTGTGGGATGCATATGGGTTATGCTGATCACCGCCGTTACCCTGATTTCTCTCTTATTTCAAAATCCGGCGACTTCGATGATGCCCTCTCTTGCGTTATTATTACTCACTTGTAAGCTAAACCTCCTCCTTTACTCTACTTAAAACGTTTAACTAATATATGATTTACTGTTGATGTGAATGAAAAAATGATAATGGCATCAATCTCAATACGAATGCTGTAAACTGCAAAATGGTGGTAGTCTGTAATCTACAATGCTGCAAGCAATTATTTCTTAATTTACTCTCTGCGGTGATTTCTGCATGATTTAATGTATATAAATTATCTTATTGTTATTCTTAACGAATTCAGATAAATCATGCCCATTTGAACTTTACTCCTGGTTGGCTGTGCTCTTAAGATACAAATCAGAAAGGATGGAGGGAGTAATTTGTGTTGATCTTTTAGTAGCTTAGATTACTATTTAGTTCCAAGGAAATTCTACCATTTTTTAATTGGATTAATATCTAAAGTACCGATTTGACTATATATTTGACGTGATGGATGATAAAGAGTGCATGTAATTTGGATTGGGGAAAATGGTTCTTCAAATGCTATTTTGCTATATATTAGTAGCAACTAATTAACTCTCAGTAATGGATTATTTTACTTTGTAGACACTAAATTGTGTATTTTTCTCCTACAACCGTGTGGCTTGTTCATGGGTTATTAAACAGCAAAACAAAATATTGTCACTAAAAGGGAAATTGCACAAAGGAAGTACATTCTCTATGATAAGACATCAGATAATTTAGAAACCATGAGGAAAGTAATGATGCCAAAACTATCCAACCCCCAAACTTCTTTAGAAGCTATGAAAGTCAATAAATACTGAAAGCTTAAAGCAGGCCTAAACTGTTTGTCCATAATTTTGAGAGGACGTTATTCTAGTATGGCTCTAAACATACATTTCTCGTTTGAGCTTGTGTTCTGAACAGGTATCACCTCTCAACAAGGTTGTGTTGAAATTTCAATATTATCAGTTGAAATCAGATTCAGAACTGATACAATGAACTAACTAGCTTATATACTGACTCCATTATTCAGTGTCACCAGTACTCTGAGTAGCCTGTGTTTGTTTTTGTTAGTTTATTGGGCATGATGTAGTAAATATAAGTCAAATTATTTGTTAGTGCAGTTAGAACCCTTGAAGCATATTTTGGTGTGATCATTCACACTAGCAAAACATGAATAATCAAAAGACTGTCTAGGTCCTAACAAGCAACAAAGACAAGAACAAGGACACTCCGTTCCTGCTGCTCTTCCAGTAACAGAAACAAGACAATCTTTGCTAACAACTGTTGCAGCTAAAACATTTCATAATGTCCAAGGTCCTAGGTCTGCCTATTCCTATGATCCATCAGGCCCAACTTTCTTCAAGCCAAAAGAAGTTAACCTTTACAATAGCTAAGGATATATTTTCGCATCACATTTTGTTTGTCTATCATCTTTCTTGCTTGAACCAATCTTAATGGTGAAGTAACCTGTACTTTTTGTTTTCCATGATAATAGCATGTACTTGAATGGCATGTTTTGATCAGGTTTCACTTTTACAAGTTTATGTCTGTTTTTCCTTTTTGTTGTTATCATGTAAATCAAGGGAACAAAACATGCATAGTATTCTTTCAAAAATTATGATAATCTTATGAATGTAGTACAAAACAAAGATTCTTATCTGTGGATATGTGAAGTAGGATGTACATGCATATGTTCGAGTGTACACATTGGTAACATAATCTTTGAATCAAGTCAATATGAACTAATATAAGTTCTATTTTACAGTCACTTGGATCATATTGGAGCTCTTCCGTACTTCACTGAAGTTTGTGGTTACAATGGACCAATTTACATGACGGTAAACTCGGTTTACTTTCATTCTTTAATGGGGTTAAGTATTGTTTAATTTAAGCAAATGCTGCATGTTGGCATTTCTTCATCCTCTTACAAGACTCACAGGGTTGACTTGAGGGTTAATATCGTTTGGTGTTATAGGGTTTGCCATGATTATATTCAATGTCACTTTACTACTTTAGGCAACATGCAAGTAATGAACGTTTGTAGGCATAGCTACAGAAAAGGGAACAACATGTCTTGAAACAAAAGAATGACTAAAAGAACTAGACACCTGCAGTGAAAATGTCATCCTCATTTAATCGTTGATTGTGTTTGAACTTGCCTCCTGGGTTCCTACTGAGCACCAAGGAACTATGCACACTCATTTACTTAAGTTTACTTCAGTTCACTCTTGATTAGCTTCACATCATAATTCATAACATGATTCATGTAATAAGTATTGGAGTGTAAGGTTTTATCAAAGATCTGCATCTAGTCCAACAAACATTGTTATTCGGTATGTTTAAAAGACTTCATATCTGGAAATTCAAGGCATTTGACAAACATGCAGTTAACTTTTCTACAGTATCCTACCAAAGCTTTGGCTCCCCTTATGCTAGAAGATTACCGGAAGGTGATGGTTGGAAGGGGAGAGGAAGAGCAGTTCACTTATGAAAACATCCTTGACTGTATGAAGAAAGGTATCAAACCTTCCTTTTTGCCTTTCCATGCGGGGCCAAAAAAAATTGGTTTTATTCTCTGTGGTTTACTCATTCTTGAATGAAAGCTTCATCGAAAGATCCAACATTTGACTCATATTTGCTGAAAAAATGTGGTTTATTCAACTCTGTGGTTCATCTTATACATTATGATATGCATGATTCTTTACAGTTCTGTAACTGGCTGTGATGCATTTCAGCATAACCACACACCATTGCTGCTACTGCCCATATCTCTTTCTCATTTATTTTATCTGAATCCGTATTTCTGTTTCATTGACTGATCTTTGACATTAATATTACTTGTTTACGAAAGGGAATCTTGTAGAGATGATTTAATAGCCTTTTGCCAACTACTTGCTTCACATATTGTAACTCATACAACTGAATACTTGAAAATATATATAAAAGTCATAATAGTGCCATCAAACTCATCCCATCGCCTAGTGGTATGTGAGTCCCCGGCCTCCTAGGAGGTCAAGGGTTCAAACCTCACCAAAGGTGAGGAGGGTGTGTGAGTTTATTTGTTCTGTTTTCCGTATATAAATATTATATACTTAAAAAAAACTCATCCTCTTGCTGCTTTTTGCTCAGTTACCGCCGTGGATCTCAAGCAAACGGTGCAAGTTGATAAGGACCTTCAAATCCGTGCTTACTATGCTGGACATGTATGGTTCTAGAACTTTAAAGCTCCTAACAGATTTGAGTATGTTTGCCTTTTGCTGATTAATTCAGTTAAATGCTCCATTCATCTTTCTTTAGGGACTTAGCATGGATCTCTTTTGATATTTCTTTGAATATGATATATATTGATGCTGCAATTGAAATAGAACTGTTGCCATGATGCATCCCCTTCCGTGGTTTTCATTAAACAACTTATCCTTTATGTTTCATGTTTGATCCAAGATATACTTAACATATGTTAAAATGGCAGTCCACAATAATTTGTAACGAGGTTCCTTGGTGCTAGTGCCTTTACAGTTGGGCCTATGCTCATGGAATAGGTTTGGAATTTGACGATGGCTAATACATTGATCTGACTGTTTGTCAACTGTTAATACAACAGCTGGGATTCTGTTATCGTTTTACTTCTGAGACATGTTCTTTCATTTATGATATTGAGCACCCCTTGATCATCCTATTATATTTTTCTTCTATTTATTCATTTCAAAGGAAGACTCACAGTTGGCGCTAATTTAAGAACATCGTGCCTGTATGATTCTGCTATAATTGACTGTTAAATATCAAACCTATGCTTTCCCGAGTTCAACTCCTATTATCTATTTTTCCTTTCATTTGGAGCAACTTTCTCTGTTTCTTGTAGCTATTCATGTATGTAATGTACTTATATCCAAAAGTACACAATTTCATCTCGATGTCAAAGTTGATTAAACCAAACCAAAAGAGCCCAATATATCCGACTCTGAAGTAGGGTTTTTTNGGGGGGGGGGGGGGTAGGATGTAATACAATTCCTCTACCCTAAGGAGTAGAGATGTTTCTGTGAATGCAAAAAACTTTGAAAAGTCTTGAGACATACTGAAAGTCTTGTAACTTGTTAGATTGAAGGTTTTAAAAGTTATTGAAGTACTTTGGTGTGAGACAGTGTGTGCAAAAGGCATCAATTTTAAAGTTGATTGTCTGTACTTTAACCTTTCAAAAGTCAAATCAGGACATTTTCTGTATAATGGAGAGTACTATGTGTTTTTTATGAGAATGATCTTACTTTTTTTTTCATTAGAACCTTGCTTCTACATTATATTTTGTTTTTCTAAATCATATTTTGGATTGTGTTTAAGGTCCTTGGAGCTGCAATGTTTTATGCCAGTATGGGAGATGCTGCTATGGTATACACAGGAGATTATAACATGACACCTGATAGGCATCTTGGAGCAGCTCAAATCGACCGAATGCAATTAGACGTTCTTATAACTGAGTAAGACACATATATCTGTGTTGTACTACCTTTTTTTTCCTTGAGTTCTTTCATTTGTTTTGTGTGCCTTTTCTGTATCTAGAATTCTAGATACTAGATAGTTGTCAATTCATGAATGAAGTTGAGAATTGCTATATTAATTTCAAGAATAGGAATCTAATTGGATGTGCAAGCCCCTTCTAATGGAAAATAAAATTCAATGAGGATTTGGTTCATCTGACATATCCACTCCAACCTTTTCTGTAAAACTTTATATACTATATATACATATATGGCACAAACATAATCATTCTAGTTATGTTTAAACCAAAATATACTTACATCATTCGTAGTGTTCTCTTGTCTAATTTGTTCCTTTGCGACATAATCAAACACGAACAGAGTTACATTTCCATTCATGAATCAATACACTCTAGACAGAAATCCACAAAACAACACTAACATGTTTTGAAATAACATGGGGAGACAAAGAAACATATCTAGAATGGTATGCCAATATGTTGTAGATTCAGAAATCTCACTTCATTAGGGGATTTCTATTTTGTATCATTTGCTTTGTTATTCGAAGATTTAAAAAAGTGGGGTTCGCAGGGAATAGTAGGCATGTTAGCCATTATTTCATTTAATTAACATTAAGTGCAATTTATTTTCATTAATGTCCAGTAGTTCAGTTTCCTAGAGCCCAATCTTTGATTCGTACGATAGGTTGCACAAAAGTTTCAAACTTTGTTTTCATTGGCACCTATAGAAGTCCAAAACCATGAGTTCAGGTTGTGTGGGTGGTGTTTTCTGCCACTAGCAGTTCCATCATATTTTGTCTGCCGCCTAAATTTATCAATCATCTACCATTTTGTCTTTCAATACAGATTGTATCCAAGTATACAACTAAGAGAAATTATCCAAGATAGATTATTGCTCAGTTCGTACTTCTAAAAAGCACATGATATGAAAATGAAACATGACATCTAAGGAGCCCTTGTAGACTAACATTTTTGTCAATGGGCAATACTTTTTAAGATGAAAAGTTCATGGAGAAGTTTGCTCAGGATGAAAGGAAGTACATGTCTGATGAACTCTGACCCAAGTCTCTGACTAGAATCTTTCTTCTGTTCTTTTTACTGTTAAATACTTCCTTCCCTTATCTGGACCTTATTGTTGTTGGTTGTTGCTTGTTGCTTGCTTCCCTTAGGGAATAGAGGCATGTTAGCTATTATGTATGTTTTTTTTGCCACTCTCTTGATGATATGCCACAGAAACTAGGCTTTTTTTAATGTGATTTTAGATGCTCGAGTTCTGCACCAAAATTTGTAAGTATTAGCTATAGGATCTCAAGTAACAGTTTACTTCTTGCAGGTCAACATATGCGACAACTATTCGTGATTCAAAATATGCTCGAGAGAGGGAATTTCTTAAGGCTGTATGTAAGCTTCATTTCAGCATATTTAGCAGCACTAATCTTTGTTAGACTCAATTGTTCTTTAAGAGTTCTACTATTTACTTGGGCTGGTTGCTAGTACAGGCAACACTATAACAAGAAATAAATTCGTAAGGATGTTTTAGATGATACTGTTGAACAATGATTCCTGCTATCAACAGGATAATTACTTATCATATATAGTATGCTTACTAATCTTCAGCCACAATCAGAATGTAGCCTTTATATATCTTTATGATGAAGCTTCTTAACTGGCTATTTGAGTTGCATAAATGCATCTATTTTTTACACATTAGACCCTTTTTTGTTGTCTAGTAAGACGAAACCAAACCAAACAAACCTAGTAAATCCCGCAAACAAGGTCCCGCGGGGGGGCCGGGGGGGAGGGGGAGGATGTACGCATACCTTTCCTCTACCCCAAGGGGTAGAGAGGCTGTTTCCGTGAAGACAGTTTTGTCTAGTAATGTCTTAAGGTATTATTTCTCTGATGTGTAGTATAGGAATTTTGGTTTTGATTTAACTGACCTGGACTCGTATGATAGTAGGCATGTTGCTGTATGAATATATTCTAGAATTGTTAAACGAGGCATGTAAGTGATGACCGAAAGCCACAAATGCTGGAGAAACTGCAATGGTTATAGGAAGAAATGAACAAATGGAAATTCAAACATCAATACGATAACGAGTCCTCAATTGCATGTAGTTCAGATAGGTGCCTGTCATAAAAGATTCTAAAATATTTCTAAGAGGAGAAGTTAAGAGAGAGGATGATCCAACCTAGTTGGCTGAATTGCATTCCTCCATACTCTCCTATCAGTGACAAAAGTTTTACGCCCTCTTTTAGTGCAAGTGATTTTTAACTGCTCCTAGCCCATGTAGGTCCTTTTTCGAGGTAAAAGTAGGAAATTTTATCAAAGCTTTAACAAAGTTGAAGAAAGTTTACAAGCTTGAAGGAAGACTTCAATTCAAATAACTACTCAAGTGAATAACTCGATTGAGAGGAGATCTAAGGCGATAAAAGATGCAGCGAGATCTGTCACATGGCTAAACAGATTCATACGCAACTTCTTGTCCCGAAAGAATCCAAGGTTGAGTTATCTGTGTGTGGACATTGGTGCTCAGGAAAGAATTTTGGTTCCAAAATGCACTAGAAACTCTTCATCTTTGAACAGCCTCCACTGACACAAGCTTTGTTGTTGAATATTACCTGATTGCGGGAGAACCAAATGCACCATACGATGCCACAAACCAATTAATTTTCACCACTATGGGCAACTAAATCAATCCCTTAGTTCCAATCACTGTCAAACTGATGACAATTATACGAGATTACTCATTGCATACCCCACCCACCTCTGAAAGAGACTTCCAGATGCTGTTCGTCTATTGGCAGTGCAGTAATAGGTGAGGCCGTGAGGGGTTGATTCCAGATCTTCTTTGCCCCAACCATCTTGGGTAGTAAATGAAATGAGGTGGTGAATGAGCACCTCCCTCGCTGGAATGACATCGTGTAGTCATTGGAAGCACTATACTTTGGAGGGCACATGTTTGGACCAAACAGAACGCGCCCACTGCTATTCCATACTGAGTAATGGTCTGGTAAGCAACTTAGTATCATCACCAACAGAGAAACTGACCATTTGTGCCTGGAGTTCACTGAACAGAATATTGCTTTTGAGTGTTCATTCTAACTTGTGATCATTGCAGCCGGAAGTCTTGAATTTGTTCTATTTCAAGAATTTGTGAAATCAAGATCGCAAGAGATGAACCGTCATCGTTTGCAGCATACAATTCTACCACCTTACCAAAGGGAGTGGATGATAGGAAGTATAAGTGCACAAACAAAATGCTCAGCTTTGATTGGCTGACCCACCAGTCGTTCACGAATGGGATCTGATTCCTGTTCTGACGTTGCACATCCATGCTTTTGGGTTTAAGACTTGAAGCATATCATCTTCCTTCTGAAGGTTGGTGATGTTTTTTAACGTTAGAAATCCCTTGATCTTTCCTGATGCTTCCTTATCAAGCAAGTCATCTTTCCTCGTCTGTGGATTAGGAGGTGCACCATTACCATGACAGTACTAACCCAAGATATTTGTTTGGTGCCCACTAGAAAACCCTAAAGGAATTGACTAAGGATGCACAAACGGTGGAACGTGTGGTTTAATTCGATACAATACACAAGCTTTACCATCCCTTGACATGAGCAAGAGTTCATAATCATGTGGCCATGCCTCACCTTAACCTATGGTTTCCACTACATAATTATATGTGTGCCTCTCATTGGCTGGACCTGTTATGCATACAACATGGAAGACCTGGGGGAGATTTACCAACACTTACCGGGTAAAAGTGTTTTCCAGGTAGGAGTCACCACCTTCACTTATCTTACAACGTAAGATTCTTGGCCATCAAAATGGCGTAATAAGATTGTTCTTAAGTGTCTCTTACCTGGTAGCGCTAACCAAGTAAGAGTCACCACCCTTAGTTACTGGGCAAGATTCTCGGTCCTTGCCATGCTCACCCGGTAAGGTAAGTGACGTGGTGAACGCTTACCCAGTTAGAGTTTGGTAAATATCTTTAGAGAGCCCATTAATTTTCACTTTTCACTTTTCATCCTACATTTATTTTGCTCCTCACACTAATTTCTATGCATTTGACTCCCTACTAGCCAATGTAGGGACCCCATTAATTTTCGTCCTACAATCTATTTTTTCTGCCAATGAATAGTATGATTGCCATGTGCAATCCTGCATCCTTGACCTTGCTCTTATTAGTGAAAGATCTCTTCAACTTCTTCCAGGTACTTGCACTGAGATAGCATCTCTAAAATGCTTTAGCTTCTCTGTGCTTAATGTGAAATCCAGAGTACATATATTGTAAGGTGCTTCTCTATCATTTCTTCTTAACATCACGCCTACCCCATCTTTACCAATTCACACAATATCATTTCCAAAATTGCTCACTATTGCATTCTCGCTGTGTAGTCACGTAGATCCTTTACAGACAATGATTTAATGCGTATGCCACTTGTATGTACATCATTTATTCATCAGCAACATGTAATAACATCGTACTGTGGTACTTGCTTTTCATTTTCATCTGAAAACTTTTGTTGTATTTTGTCTTTAGAGTTGTACTTGTTTTATCTTACTTTTGGAAGGGTGCTCGCAGGTTCATAAATGTGTTGCCAATGGAGGGAAGGTGTTGATTCCTACATTTGCTCTTGGAAGGGCTCAGGTTTTCATTTGACTTATCTGCATAATGCACTCATGACTCATGAGTATTGAAGTGGTTCAAAAATCCAGTCACCGTGTTTATCGCTAACTGATGACTGTCGTGAATTGTTTTGAATTCAACCTTTTGTTATCCATTTGTAAAAGTTCAACCATAGGTGGTTTTCTTTAAATGGTCATATGGGAGTATATTTAGTTGGAATAAAACTTATTTTTCCTAGCAGAAGTCCACAAAGCAATACCAAGCTTGTCTACAACTTTGACAGACAATATCATTGAACTTAGCCTACGATCTCAATTTATTCAAGTTTTTGTGTGTGCCCTTTAGCTTAATTAAGTTTAGAACATATTCCAACAGTAGATAACCACAAATTCATGTAGTTTGCCTTTGATCACATGCAACGAGGGTGCTAACAAGTAAGAAGAAAAAAAAAAGAATTGAGCTTCTCAGTGAAAGGGAACCAACCACACATCTGCACATGTTAAGAAACCGACTTGAAACCTTGTAAGAGATATTTCTACTTAGTAACTGTTTATGTCTCATAGGATACTGTTTCAAACTACAACCCTGCATCTTGGAATAATATTGTAGAGCTAATTCTGAGTGGCTAAGCATGGAAGTTATCATTACTATGATTAGATATACATAAACACTTACAAATTGTCTGGCACTGATATATGCCCACTCGGTTGGGAATTGAACTGCTCAGATGGTTAGATTTGTCCTTCACTTGTAATTGTTCTTAAGTTGCATTCAGTTTGTCTAAATTAATTGTTTTATAAGTGTACCTTATGTTTGTAACAAGTTTATGGATCGTTGTAACAGGAACTCTGTATATTGCTGGATGATTACTGGGAGCGGATGAATCTGAAGGTTCCTATATACTTCTCAGCAGGTTTGGTCTTTGCGTTCTCCCTTGTTACCTATACCGGAACAACGGTTATCCTTTTGAAAATTTACCTGAATCTACTTGGACTAACTAGAATCCATTCTAGAACTTTGTCAGCCATCTCAATATAGATGTCATGGATGTATAAATTATAATTTAAGGCTTATAGTAATATGCACCTATCTGCCTAAAAGTGCACATATTTATAAGGCAACATTATACTACTCCTCTTAGGGTGTACCATATCTATCTCATGATCTTGAAGCGTTTTGGCTCTTGGGTCTCCAAAGATGAAGTTTAGATAAACATCTTTCGTCCTTCTCTATCCAACCCTCATACTCATGAAACCTCAAACACGTTGGGCAAATGGACATGTGAAGCTCATTGGGTACAAAGTTTTGGTTAATTATCATATCGTGTTGGTCTTACTAGGGTTTTGGTTCATTTGGACTGGTAATTTGCCACCCCATGACCATGAACCCAAAAACTTAGGATTTGGATTTTCTGTTTTTTTAGTGTGGATAGGACTAACTGTCTTGTTCTCTACAAGCCTCACTACGTATTCAATTGGATGATAGGAGTATTGATCTCTGGCAATCCCTTTGTGTAACAACCCTAATTTTCAGCCAGGTATATAGATATATACATATCTTTATCATAATTTCTTATAAAGTTAAGTTGTTTCTAAAGGCCTTTAATATAAGAACTAAAACGAGGTGAATAACGTCTTTTAGTAAAAAATAAAATAAATAAATATTAACTATAGAAATAAATAAGCAAGCAAGCATACAAGTAGCTTACAAAGCTACTTACCAATAAGCACATAAGTAGACTAAGCTACTTAAAAACAAACAACATGAGCCACAAAAATCATGTGACAAAGCAAGCCTACTCTTTATGACAAAGCAAGCCTAGAGAATAAGTTGTAAGAGAAAAGGAATTTGTGGCAACCCTAAAAGCATTACAAGGCAAGGCTATCAATGAACAAGTACATATGTGGCATATCCTTAGAGATTTACAAGTTGAAAAGCTAAGTGAACAAGTACCTTAAAGCATACCTTACACCCTTTAAATAAAAGCTTAAAGGGCTCATTGTTTTCATCCCAAGATTAGCATAACAAAGACTAAGAAGTGAGTTAGAAAGTCCAAAAGCAGGGTATAAATAAGGTGAGTACATTATGAAATTTATTGGGATACATACATGCTATATATATATATAAATGTTTTATGCATGAAAGAGTATTGCCATATCTTCTTGTAAAAGTTATGTTATGATTATGTGGCAAAATACACCTCTTATGTCATGATGTACATGTGGTATATGGAAGTTTGTATACATGTTAAGTATAACCATTTAAATATCCAACGTACGGGATATAGAAAGAAGGTACGTCTTGCAAACGGACCTTATTGGGCAACACTTATGTGGACCCGAGGTTAAAGAACATGTGAGAAGTTGGTTTACTTAACATGTAACCATGAGATCTCAAAGAAATGTTTTTATACATGAAAGTTTATCAGAATTGTTTTAATTGTTCGGAAAGAATGTTTTATCATGAAATCATAACTAGTCACTAAGCTTAAAGCTTACGTATTCATGTATTATCTCAGGAATCAAGGAGTAGGAACAAACTAAAGTATTGCTATTCTAGGATGTTAGAATATTATAAGTTGTAAATTTCCGCATTTTCCGCTGCTGTATTAACTCTATTATAATGAAATAAAAGTTTAAGATATGAAGTTTTCTTTCATTCACTTCACTTGTACTAAGGGCAAAGGACGATACCCCCGGCAACGGGATGTCACACTTTGTTATTTGCTTATCGAGCTTGTTATGTTGTTCTGTAAAAGGCTATAAAGGCCAAGTATTCGGAATTCAATTTTGCTTGAATGCATTCCAAAAAGAGGAGATAGATCATCTATTCATTTATATTTGTCTCTTTCAGGTTTGACAATGCAAGCTAATTTGTATTACAAAGTGCTCATTAATTGGACTAGCCAGAAGGTGAAAGATACATATGCTACTAGAAACGCATTTGATTTTAAAAATGGTACCGCCATTAAAATCTCAGCCTTTTCTCTATGATGCAACCTTGCATGTTCACTCTTGCTTACTTGGCTCATAACTAACTGGGGTTTGGTTGCTGCAGTTCACAGCTTTGACCGCTCGTTACTAGATGCTCCTGGACCCTGTGTTCTTTTTGCTACACCAGGAATGATTAGTGGTGGTTTTTCACTTGAAGTTTTTAAGCATTGGGCTCCTAGTGAAGCAAACCTTATTACACTTCCAGGGTATTATTCCTTTTTACATTCCAGTTGCTAGAGCCAAACTGACAACTTGATACATCTTCGCATCTTTTAGTTAGTTCAACTTATCAAAGTAAACCAAACCAAACCCAACAGACCCAGTGCACCACCCAAAGGTAGGGTTTGGGGAGTAAGATGTATGCAAATCTTTCCTCCGTCTCACGAGACATAGAGGCTGTTTCCAAGAAGACTCCCGACTTGCAAAAAAGAAAAAGAACAAATGAAGAAAGCACAATGAAAGGCAACATATAAGCAATGGCGTTATAAGTTCATCTTATCTAAATTACATTACATTATATTTTTAATGATCTTCTCTTGGTTTGCAATTTGCTTGTGGCATAGAACACTAATGGCACATATCGACCACTCTCTTCTCAATAGTCATGGAACTACTTTTTCAGATTTTCTAATCCTGATATCCTACTTTTCTGGACGATCTGAAAGATCCCGCATTACATGTCACTTAGTTCAGATCCTGCTTGCTTGTATCTGCTGAGCTCATATTTTGTTAATTAATCAAAGAAGTAACGCCTTTCAGCCTCTTTCACATAGTTTTTTTATATCCATGAGTTCTTTTTCCTGTTTTCTCCGTAGGTACTGTGTTGCTGGAACCGTGGGACACAAATTGATGTCTGGTAAGCCCACAAAAGTTGATTTGGATAAGGACACACAAATTGATGTGCGCTGCCAGGTTCCTTTCTGTGCCTTCTCTCCGTATATCCATCGTCTATTGATCTTTTTATGTAATTATTGTGTTTTTTATATTTAATATGTCCATCACATGATAAATGCAAAGCTTGGCAGGGCACATAGTTCAATGAAGCTTAGTAAAATGTCCTTCAACAATGACAAAATAACAGAATCTTGTAAATCCAAGTCAGTTGCTATCAACATTTTGAAATGGTAACCTTGAGGCCAGCTTAACCAGCAAATAAAGGCTAGGCCTTGGGGCTCCTCCCCATAAGTCGCCAATTCAAGTCTCCTCAAGGCCACTAACGATTTCCCTAGTTGTTCTCTTCACGGCCCTACGGGATTAGTCGAGGTGCGTGCAAGCTGTCCCAGACACCCATGGTTGACAAAAACAACACATTTTTAAATGATTACTAACGGGTAAATGGTATTTCTGGACTAAAAGTTCACTGGAAAGAGTAATTTTGCTGTTATGAATAAGGGGAGTACATCTTTTATTTTTTCCCATTCCCCCTTCAAGGTATTTGAAGAGAAAATGATATGGTTTGAATGAGGCAGGCATGTGTGATACGTCAACTTTTTTTTTTTTTCCGTTAAACTATCTCAAGTATGCCTTCAACATAAGAAATATATGTTTTCCTGTTCAAATGCTACAAAGCACCTGTATACAAATCTTGTTCTCACATATAGTTTTCTTTTTCAGATTCATCAACTGTCTTTTAGTCCCCATACGGATGCCAAAGGAATTATGGATCTCGTCAAATTTCTCTCCCCCAAACATGTAGTACTTGTACATGGCGAAAAACCAAAAATGGATCTGCTTAAAGCAAGAATCAAATCAGAACTGGGAATTCAATGTTATGATCCAGCAAATACCGAAACTGTATCTTTCCCTTCAACCCAATTTGTCAAAGCCGATGCCTCAAACACATTCATCCGTAGTTCTTTAACACCCAACTTCAAGTTCCTAAAAGATGAAGTTAAAGCCATGGCCCCACTAGAGGTTTGTGATGAAAGAGTAACCGAAGGAATCTTAGCTATGGAGAAGGGTCAAAAGGTCAAGATTTTACACCAGGATGAGCTTCTAACCATGCTTGGAACCGAAAAAGCTGAAGTTGAGTTTGGTTACTGTTTTGCATTGCATATATGCAGTTTAAAAAGAGTTTTGCCTGCCATTGAAGAAATTTCTGTTTTTGATGAGAACTTGTTGCTTTCGGTTTTGAATATGAAATTGTCGAATGAGGTGGGGATGCAGGATCGCGTGGGAAGTCTTGAGGTGAACTCTTTTCGGCTTTCGATATGTAAGAATGATAAGTGCCCTCATAGAAGAAATGGTGATGGTGATGGTAATGGTGATGGGTCTTCTGAAGGCATATATTTTTGCTGCAATTGGTCAAATCTGGATATGAAGCTTGCTTGGAGAGTTATATCTCTATTGAAGAACATGGATTCAGGTGTTGATTTGTAAAATTAACATCAATTTATGGAGACAATTTTGTTAAACCGAGTTCTTGTTGGTAGTGTAAGAATCTGAAAATGAACGTATTTTGGTCGAACTGTATATTATTTCACTTACGCGAGTATTGTCTCCCGATTGCATGTTAATTTTTTTTGCACAAACTACATGAAATTGAACGTAGGTTGGTCCCATTTTTATTTAAGAGTGTCTCATCTAAGGGCTTATAGATTGAAAATGTTTATGATGTTAATGTATTTTTGAAGATGTGTTTATTAAAATAGGGTTTTTTTTTCTCAAACTATAGGTTCTCAAAATAGAGGGACCCTTAAATGGAAAACATGAAACCACAAGGGTGGTGCCTAATTGGTTTGAGCTTTACTCCAAAGGTCAAAAGTAGTAGGAGGTCCCAAGTTCAAATCAAAGTAGGAATAAAAATCCCCTTATGGTGACGGAGGTTCAAATACGGTGACTTCGGGTTATCTGCAAAGCAGGTGGTCGCCCTGGGATTAGTCGGCTCGCATAGCGGATTGGATATCCAGGTTGATAAAAAAAAATGGAAAACATGACTTGTTCCTGTGTTTCTGTTATTGTTCTCGGAAGTGAATTAAAAGCACCTCCAATAGATTCTAAATATTTTGAAGTTTTGTTTCTAACAATTATGCTAGACTCTATATAAAGAAAGAAAGAAACTAGAAATCTTTGAATTTGGAGAAATCTCTAAAACTTAGGTTATTTTTGGCAAACTAGCTGACAAGTCGGCTGATAAACTAAATTGTTTGGCACAAACTAGCTGATAAGCTAGTCGAAAATGTAAAATGATCAAAAATGATATCATTAAAAGTTAATAAAGTTTAACATTTCATAATATGTAACATCCGGAAAATTTTGGGCAAGTAAAATTCCAAGGTTTTATATTTATTCTTATTTTTTACCTTAAAAATGTCAAGAATTTAAGTATTTGAAGTTGGGTGGTGTTTGGGTTTGAAGTTAGGAGGTGAAAGAAGGTCCAAACGATACTTGTTTGTGCTCCTCGGGAGTGAAAGAATAGCCTCGGACGTGAAAGATAGGCAGAAAATCGATTTTGGGCACTTGGGCTGCTCCCCGATCACGAAGAAAACGCCCCGTGCGTGAAATAGAGGCAAGAGGTTGGGCGTGTATGAGGGGCAGAGGGTCGGGCACCCTATGGCACGATCTAAGCCACTTTTTGACTTGTTCGGCTCCAGTGTAAGTGTTTTTCATCTCCTTTCTCATTTACTCTTCACCTTTTTCCCACCTACTCTCATTCTCCCTTTTTACTTTTATTAAATTCGTGAATCACTTTCTGGAGCTGATTTAAGATAAATTTCAAAGCATTTATTGATACTTTATCCAAGGGAGAAAGTGGTAGATTCAAAGCTTCAAGACATCACCTCTAATCTTAGGGTTCTACTTGGTTTCAGGTTTTCACTAAGAACCTAACATGTTAGTTCACATTTATTTATTAAGCTTTATTTATGCCAAGTCTTGATATTTTACGTCTTTATGGAACTACACTTCGAATATTTGATTTCATCCAGAGGTATTTGACCTATAGATGATGTCTAGTCCAAAAACGGTTTTTTTGGGCTTAAATATGGACGATGACTATATACTAAAGGTTTAATAAGGCTCTTGATGTGGAACTTGACTAGAGAAATGGGTACGCACTAAGGTTCAAGAGTTCTTGACGTAAAACTCCTTGGAGCAGACACTAAAGGCAGTTATGGGTTTGAGGTGACGCCATGAATGAGATGTGCACTAAAACTATGAACCTGAAGTGTAGTTTCAATATTATCATTACAGGAGAATACTTTAGTGTTTCTGCCACCTTGACAGAGACAGATCCCCCCTTGTCGTTGAGAGATTTTCTTTGAGAATGATTTTCAGGTTGGAACAACTTTGTTGTGATGCATAGTACTGTGCTATTGTTGTGGTTGGTAACATTTGAATTTTCACTGTCATCTACCTTTGTGAATTGTTGTGTGTGATCTCACTAGGCGTTAAGCATAACTCTTGTTCTTGATTTTGTGGTTTTCAAGCATCAAGAGTGGCAAATCTAAGACCGCATGAGAGGCTTGGTTGATGCTACTAGAAGTAGCAGGGCAGAGATCTTTTAGAAGCACTTAAGTGAAGATTGACCCTTTGGGGACAAAGTAACACCCGACTGACTGTGATCTAGTTATTACAAGATCAGATCATTAGTTTGTTGTTTGTGTTTCAGTTATTCAATATTTATGCTCAACAAACTTTCCCTTCATGGGTTTAAGGCGTTCTATATATGGAACTTTTTTAGTTGTACAAAAGTGTTTCTTGTTGCAAATTTTTAGGGTGTTTGCATAATATATACTAGTTTTTAATATCGCGCGTCGCGCGATGATAATATATATTTTTAAATTATTGAAGTTAGTTAAATGAGTCGATAATCACATTTATATATTAAACTAATAAAAATCAATATTACCTTTGATATATGAATTCACCTTATAATTATTGGTTGTTTTTTTAATGTGTGTATATATATATATATATATATATATATATATATATAATAGTTTTTATATATCGATCTTTTATCATATCAAACTTTGTAATTGGTCCAAAATCATAAAAAAAATATGTGAAAAAAATTAACAATGTTAAACTGTTTCTTCAATGATTCATATGTCACTTTATCCATACATAAAAAATCCATATGCCTACATAATTCCAACTATGATGTGAATGTCTCCGACTAAAAAAGAAATATTATACTTACATAAGCAAAAACTCATACCATGATTTGTTTTATTGAATGACACATCAAATAAACAAAAATGCAAATCGCATCCACAAATTTATAACTGAATAGAGAGAGGAAAAATTGAGAGATTAATAGAGAGATTATCATAGAGGTATACCACAAAATTATACATAAATAGAGAGAAAGAATTGAGAGATTATCATAGAGGTGTACCCCAAAATTATATATGAATAGAGAGAAAAAATTGAGATATTAATAAAGAGATTATCATAGAGGTGTACCACAAAATTATATATGAATAGAGAGGAAGAATTGAGTGATTAATATAGAGATTATTATAGAGGTGTACTATGAAGAGAAGATGAAAATTTATAACCAAATAGAGAAGAAGAATTGAGTGATTAATATAAAGATTATTATAGAGGTGTACCATGAAGAGAAGATGAAAATTTATAACCAAATAGAGAGAAATAATGAGAGTTAAAAGGGTAATTATTAGAGGGAACATGAATAGGTTGAAACAACCTAATTAAATGATATTAAATGTGAATATTAAAAATCAAAAACAAATATTTATGTAGGAAAAACTTGAGAAAAGAAGAAAAAAGATAAAGTATTTTCTTGTTTTGAGAAGAGGCCACATCATTACATGTGGTTTCTTCTTTAATATATATATAGATTTAAAAATTCATTAATAATATAATATGTTAATCAATGCAAGTGCTGATGTTAAAATAAATAAATAAATAATAGAATATGTTAATTAATAGATTTCAATTTGATTTATTATCATTTTATATATAATGTTAAAAAAATTGAATTTGTATAACCAAAAACAATTTTTAGAAAATATCTTACATTAAATGATGATTTCAAATAACCATTACATATAATCTATACTATATTATAAAACATTTGACAAAAACTCTTAAAAACAATATTTTATGCATAAAGTACTATATATTGATGCATATTACTTAAAACTCAATATTACAAGTAAATTGTGCATAAGTACAACTTATTAAAGCTTTGTTTTTTAATTCGTGTAACTAACTGCAGATAAACATAATCAAATACATGATAAACATATCATTTTAAATATAAAAAATTAAAATGTAATTAGGATAATCATTGAATTTTAACAGAATACTTAATTATTATTCTTATAAAATTTATATTATTAAATAAAAATAAATTAATTTATTATTAATTATAATAAAAAATTGAATTAAATAAATTACATAGAAATTGAGAACTTTTAAATAGTTAATGTAATACTAATATCGATACATTTTTTTTCAAATCTATATTTCGTTCAAAATAAAATATTATCGTTTTCTAAAACCACGTAAAACCGTATTATATCGATAAAAAAATGAATAAAATGAAACATTAAGATCGAGATATATCTCGTTGCATTGTACGAGTACTCTTCTAGTATTAATAAAAACAAGGTTGGTCAACCTTAAATATCTTAGTTACTTAATAAATGTTAAAAAAATATTAAATTAGAATATTTTATCAATATATATATATCAAAGTTTTATTATTTATGAAACAAAATAAACATATAACTTTAATCTTTTATGTAATTTACAAATACATTTATAATGTTGTTATATTTTTTTAGACGAATAAATATATAGAATAAAATAACACAAAAATATTTGATAAAATTAATAATAATTCTGAATAAACAGTAATTAATCCTAATGAATAATTTATAAGTAATATTAAATTAATAATGTATAATTAATATTTAGTAATAATTAATAATAAATAACAATTAGTAATAATCAGGGTTTTAATTGAAAAAAAGTGACAATATACTTCTAATAAGCTACTCCAAGTAGTTAGGTTATAAGCTAGCTTATATTCATTCAAATATGTACTAAAAAATAAGCTATCTTATGTTTGCCAAAATAATGTCTTAATATTACAGAGAGAGATACATATTATTTTAATTGTTTCTACCAATGAGGTTTAATGAGTTAGAATTTTATATAACGTTTTCTTTTAAATGTATCAGGATACATTTATAAAATATTTAATGATAAGATTAAATCAAAAAATATTCGATATTGATCTCATTTTTAAGGTATTGATGAGATGGTATAATAATATTATTTGTAAAAAAAATAAATATATTTTTAATGTATTTTATTTATATAGGATTATTTATGTTAATATGATAAAAGTGTAAAATAAAAAACAAAAAATTAAGAAATATAAAGTGAATAAATATAAAATGTAACTCCCTTGTGCTTGTTAATTAATACAGTATAGATATAGATATATAAATAAATATAAAACGTTAGTGTTTGTTTTGTTGTGCTAGTCCCACCTTCGGAAGCTTCAAGATGGCGGAGATGTCAACAGAGACGACCACCGCGCCGTTACTGATGCCACGGCAGGCGGCCGGTGAATCACAGTCCGGCGGAGGAGCTAGGCCTGCCACGCTCGCGCTTCTCTTAGGGCGTGCTTCGGGACGCCGTGGAGCGTCTATGCTGGTTCGCGAGACTGCTGCACGACAGCTGGAGGAGAGGCGAGCCGACTGGGGATACTCAAAGCCGGTTGTTGCCCTAGATATTACATGGAACCTTGCATTCGTCGCGGTTTCGGTGGTTTTGTTGATTTGCACGTTGGAGGAAAAACCGAACGTGCCAATTAGGGTTTGGATCTGCGGGTATGCGTTGCAGTGTGCGGTGCATGTAGTGCTGGTGTGGTTGGAGTATAGGAGGAGAAATCGGAGAGTACAGGAAGACGAAAGGACGGGGGAAAGTGATTCGAACTTCGACGATAGTGAGGATGATGATGGAAGGATTGGGGCTTTCTTGACTTCTAATGGAGTCAGGTGCGTTTGATACTTGAACTTGGCTATATTTAGCTTGAAATCAAGAAATCATGTTGCTTTCCATTTATGTAGGACTTGAGTACCTTTAGCATTCTAGTTTTAACCATTTACTTGACGCAACTTATTAACTATAATGCTATCTCTGTCTAATGGTTTGTTTAGCAGTTAGCTTTTCGTCCTATTTTTAAGATGAGATCAAAATTGTATCTGCATGCTACATACTTGGCTCCAAGTTTGGCATGGAAGATGCTTAGATTTACTCAGAAAGTAGGTTTATGCCGAACATAGTATATATGAAAGGTTTGTTGTGGGAATTTTCTGTTTAGATAAACTGTATTGGCTTGTTACATGAAAAATGCTCCTTGGTGGAAATTCTCAGTTGATCACACGATCAAACCTAGAATTTGACTAGGGCATGTGTTCATTTTTTTATGAATGTGCAAAAGCATCTTGCAAGTGGTTATTTTTTGTATCTAGCATTCAAGACTTGCAAAATTTTACTACTGCCTATCTCTTTGGTCGTTATAGATGAACTTTTATTATTAGTTGTTTTCTGGATTTATGATTTATAGGACATTGTTTAATTCTTTTGTATTGTGTTGCTTCATGAGGACAAGGAAGAAAAAGGTTTTCTGTTTAGTCCGGCTTTTTATTCCCTTATTTTTTTCTGCATGTTATGCTTTGAAGAGAAATGACATGCCCCTTGCATGGTGTGATTGTCCTTGTGTACTACCTTGCAAGTTGTGTTGGCTTGTTGTCTAATAATATTTGAAACAACCGAATCTGTACCCCAAGGCCTTCTCATGCTTCTTCATTAACATGCAAGTGTATATTGCTTGGATGGTTGGATTCCCTGAACATCTCATTGAAGCGCATTTAATATTAGATCAGATCCTAGTATATGGTGTATTATATTTTACAAATCAGTATTTATTGTGTTGGAGAACAATAGAGTTAAAGAGATCTTCTAATTTGTTTGCCTTCTACAAACATGGTTCGGTCTATAAAACATGGAGGGTTAAATGCATCGATCAATAGATCTTACATAATAAACCAGGTTCTTTACAAGCTTAACGACATTAATTTAAGTTAGCTTGACGACTGCTTTATCATCTAAAATAGGGAAACAAGATAGACTTAGCATGGGATCAAGGGTTTGAGAACGAATACCAAAATTAAGTAAAGAAGAAGCCACGAATATATTGAGATAAGAGAAGGCCAAGCTTTGGGTAAAAGGAGCGGTGGATGATGTTATAGATATTGCATTTGTGTGCCATTGTCCACCATAAACGATGATACCGAGAATCTTAAGGTTGACACTTTTGATTTGATGAAAGAAGAGATCATAGGACTTTACGGATTGGTGTCAAGTTTTGTTGTGCAATGGAGAAGGGGTTGATGATTGAGACATATCGTGTTTGCCAATGTTTACTCTTTAAAGTGATCTGAAAGATAGAGATGATATTTTTAACTTAATTTAGAAGGCAAGTGTCATAGTGCGATGGACAATGAGTTGATGATTAGGAGTTATCATGTTTGCTAGTATTTACTCATTAAATTGATTCAAGAGATAGAGATTATTTTTTAACCTAATTAAGAAGGCATGTGTTATCAAGCGGTGGAGAATAATTTGATGACCAATGGTTATCTTGTTTGCCAATGTTGTATCTTCGGATTGGTTTGAAAAGCGAAAAGATCTTTGTAATCTAATCATGAAAGAATGTTTTATCATGCAATGAAAAATGAGTTGGTGCGTGGGAGTAGAGATACACAAGGACTGGCTTTTTCAGGCCTGGGTTCTGTCTTCCAAGCCTGTGTTCAGTAAGTAAAAAAATCCGGGCTTTTCAGGCAGGGGCCGGGCCTTGGGCGTAAAAGTAGGCCCGAGTCGGACTTTTTCAGGTCGGCCTTTTTGGGCCTACTTCCACCACTACTCCTTTTTTTCGGGCCGAACTTGTGGGCTTGGGCTGGGCTTCAAGCTCGGGTATTTCTGTGCATATCTACTCAGGAGTTATCGTGTTTGCCAGTGTTTTTTTTTTTTTTAAATTGATTGAAAGATGAAAAGAATTTTCTAATCTAAATATCTCACTAAGAAAATTGTATTAGTCGGAGTAGGATGCTAGTTGGAATTTTTGAAGGAAAACACTTGCATATTGAAGTATACCTTGATCAATATGAAGTGGTTCTTTGAGTTATGAGATATCTGGATTAAAAAGTTAGTGTTTCATAAGGAGATGTTAGTTCTTATTTGTGAGTGGGAGGTGGGTTCAGCTTTCAGCCTCTGTTTTGATGTTTGTGTGTGTTGAGAGAGAAGAGAAGTGTTCACATATTAACCCAAAAATCTACTGTTAAATAGCTATTACTACTGTATCTACAAGATTGAAATTCATTTTGTCAGTGAAATTAACAACATTGAGTATTAATGGGACTTATAAATAAATTGACCTCTTGTGCATGCAATTAAATGTAAAATCCATTGAATAAACTTGACACCTTTGTGGTTCCTGTCAGCTATCTGGTCAAAAAAAATACAAATATGGCTTTATAGAAACTGCACATGTTTTAGGTAACATACTAACATGCAGGCTTTATTGAGTCGATTTCAGTGAGTCGAGTAACAAAGTCATTGTTGAGTAGCATTTGAACGTGTTTAGAAACATTCTCTTTTGAAGGCTCTATTTGGGATTTCATATAATCAGATAGGGCTATGGGGACGAGAACTTGACATGAGATGCATGGTCAGGTTAACTAGTTTGAGAAGCTCTAGTATCATACAAGTAAGAGCATATTTTAGAGAAGTATTCCCTCTTTCTACCCAAGATTTTATCTGCTCCATCTAGTGCTTGTGAGCACCGTAAGACATCCCAGATGGCTTTAAATACAAGTTTGAGGACCATGCTTTTATGGCATCGTTATTTGGAGATCAAGCAAATTTGAAGAACAGTAGGAAGAATTCTAGAAAGAAAAAACGAGTTTACCCTGCAGTTCTGTTGGATCAATTAAGATCGGGAGACCATTCCATGGTTAGTTGTTGGTGTATTTGTTTTTACCAAGCTAGGCATATCCAACCATATACGAGGTTTGTTGCAGTTCCCTTGATTTTGCTTGTATCTTGTGTGAAAGAGTTCCCATGATAATAGTGAATGGTAGAAAATGGTTTCATTTGTACCTGTAATACACATGCTTCTTTGGCTGATGCGTGATATTTCGGAATTTTCAGTTACACCAAAAGATGTGAAAATCTTAATACGATGGCGTCATTTGTCTGGTGGCTAGTTGGCTTCTATTGGATGGTCTCTGGTGGCGAGATTCTTCTGCATAATGCTCCACGTCTGTACTGGTATGTTTTGAACTAATACGGTTTTACAGTCTCTACATAGAATAGCTGAGTTGGCCGGAAGCATGAGAGAGAGATATCAGTCTCTCTCCTGCTGAACTGTATCTGGCCTTTCTTTGTCACCAACTTAACTTTTTCTGTTTTACCCCTTTCTATGCTTTGCTGTTTTAAGTTCTAAAAATAAAACAAATATTTGGTTATATTTTGGAGGATTGTCTTTGACAATGAGGACTATTAACATTTATGCGAAGTTCATTGGGTATCTTAGGGCATACAAGTACTTTTGAAGTAGTATTATATTGTGCAACACACATAATATCTATACTATATTATAAAGCATTTGACAAAAACTCTTAACAACCATTTTTTATACGTAAAGTACTGTTTAATAATGCATATTACTTAAAACTCAAGATTGCAAGTAGATTGTGCATAAGTACAACTTATTAAAGCTCCATATCTGAATTCGTGTAACTAACTGCAGATAAACATAATCAAATACAGGATAAACATCTCATTTTAAATATAAAAAATCTAAAATATAATTAGGATAATCATCGA